GAAACCCAATCTCTCTCCATTTCTAACAAGTACCCCCAAGTAATTCATTCACCATTTCTTTCTCTTTTTTTCTTCTTTCTGTTTTTTTCCTCCCTCCTCTCCTCCTCCTTCCTGTGTGTGTGATAGTCTTACACTGTACTCAGGCTGGCCTGGAACTCATGGCAACCTTCCTACCTCAGCCTCCTTACCACTTGGACTTCAGTCCTAAACCACAACACGCAGCTGTCCCAAGAAATTTCAAAATTCAGAATCTGAGAACCAGATACACAGTCTCATTTTTTCTGAGTCATGTTTTGAAGAGTGGCATCACTGTCTGTTAATTTGACATGCTATGCAAATCACATGAAAGCATTTTTTTTTTCTTCTTCAGGTGTGAGAACAAATTATTCCAAAAGTTCGAGGCTGGAAGGAAAATCAGTTTCCTTATATTCCTGACTTCCTGGATTTCGAGTGGCTCTGCTCACTGTGGGGTGTACTGAAGTCACTTGGCACCCAGATAGTAAGTGGGCTGCTCCAAACTGGAAAGATGGCTTTATCACACAAGGCTTGGGAAGGGTGGCTGCAAGTCTGGGCCCAACTGAGACTGCCACCAGCACAGGAACTCGCCAGCATGGCAGTCTTTTTGTAGACTCCCAGAGAGTTCCAGGATACTATAAATGGAGTGGCCATTCTCCTGGAGACTCATCTTAGAAACTGTAACAATATCACTTCTACTATGGTTTATTGGTCAAGTGGCCCCATGAAGACTCCATATGCTGCTCACCATGTGCTGCACTTTGGGGCTAACACTCTGATGTTGTTGCCTGTAATTCTCCATGATTTTTGAACAAAGGCATGACATTCCCTCTTTGGCACTTGGTCCCACACATGTAGCCCTCCTTGTCTTAAACGGTATCTTTCAATGGGCGAAGAATTAAAAATGTCTGTAGCCAGGGCAGGTATGGTGAAGCACATCTGTAATCGAAGCACATTGGAAGTATCAAGTGGAGGAAGTGAGTTGAAGACCAGGCTGGGCTACGAAGTGAAACCCAGTCTCAGAGTGTCGCCTCATAAGCTATCTTTTTAATTACACTGTGGCACGCATTTGTAAGTCAAGGAACAATTTTCAGGAGTCAATTCTCTACCTCGATGATGTGAGTCTCAGGAACTGAACTCAGGCCATCTCTCTCAGCAGCAAGAGCCTTTGCCATGTCTCTGTCCCCAAAGCATCTAGCTGCAATCAGTCACAGGCTACCTGCCAGAGATTTTACTCCTCACTGTATCTTTATGTTCAACGTTATGCTTCAAAATGCAGAATAAGGTAGGTAGGTTCTATTAAGCATTAAGAAAAGGAACAGATTATGAAACTGAGATTGGACTATATTTTTGCCATGCCTTAGGATTAATAAACATGGTGGAAATCTACTACCCTATCATACCGGGTCCCTGCTAGCCCCTGCACATGGTCACCTTTGGCTTGCTCACTTGGTTTGCCCATTTTGACATTGATCAGTGCTTATCCAAGGTCAACATGAATATATGTATAGTTACTTGATGAGAAAGACGATGTCTTTGTCACTGTCTCCATAGATGCAGACAGCTTCAGGGTCTCGGCAAACCTAGATTTCAAAGAAAGTGTTCATGTTTGGAATGTGAATCTACAAAGCCATTTGACGGTATTTAAAGATGGGAGTGACAACTAGTCTAGTCCATGAGTTCTGTGAGAACTGAGGTCCTAATAGGTCTTCTCAGATCAGCAGTTATGTGCACGACTTTATATGTTTGGAAGAGATCCAATAACAGATGATATAGCAACAATAACAACCAAAAATTACCCAAAAAAATCCCTAATTAGCAAAATGTTGTATTACTTTTCTCATTGCTCCAACAAAATACCTGACAAAGAGTAAGTTAAGGAAGGGAGGGAGGGAGGAAGGGAGGGAGGGAGGGAGGGAGGGACAAAGAAAAGAAGGGTGGGTTTATTTTGGCTCACTGTTGTGCGGTATTTTTATTGTGTTCTGACAAATAAAGTTTGCTTGGAGTCAGAGGGCAGAGCTAGCCACTAGCTGACCAAAATTAACCATAGAGGTTTGGAGGACTGTAGACAGAGGAGACAGGAAGTAGTAAGGTGGGGCTGAGAGAGGATCCCTTTTGGACAGAGGAACAGAAGAGGTAGAAGGTGACTGGTGGCTGCTTCCTGATTCTTTGATTGTTCCGGTTTTTACCCTGATAGCTGACTTCAATTTTTTATTGATAAAGATTAATTAAATTAATGCTTCAGCTCACAGCTTGAGAGAATAGTCCCTCATGGCAGGAAGGCAAGAATGCTGTCCACATTGCATCTATGGCCAGGAAACAGAGAGAGATGGACCCCGATGATCCAGTTGCTTTCTCCTGTGCACTCCTTCTGGGGCCCCAGAGGGTGGAATGGTAGTGCCCACATTCCCCTGTGGTCAGTTCAACCTCTCTGGAAAATGCCCTTACATCCATGCCAGGGGTGTGCCTCCTAGACGATTCAGAATCCTGTCAAGTTGACAGTGGAGATTAATCATCGCAAATGTAGGTGCAACTTTCGCAGAATGGAGTTAGGAAAACGGTACTTGCAGAGTAGGCAACGATTGTTGAAACTGTTGGCGTGGGGGTGAACTTAAACAGGTATGCTTATCCAGCATTCTGGATAACTGTCAGAGAAGGAAGCTACCTTTTGAAGAAATGGGAGTTAGCAACCTTGTCGGTGGCAGAAGGAAAGTGGTCCAACAAAGGCGAAGTACATGTCAAAGAGGATGATGAAGGCAAAGTAGAGATTGGTTGATTTGGGGCTCTACGCAGGATCTGAACTCCCACAGTGTCATCAATTAGTGTAATTCTTTTCTGTCGTTTGTTGGAGGAGGTGGGTGAGGGCTAGTATGTAGCACACTCATAGATGTCTTCAGCTGAGCCACATTCCAAACATGAACACTTTCAAATGAATTGTCAGCTATCTAGAAGATGGGACAGAGGTGTGGGACAAATCAGTTGTGTTTGCCTAGCATGTCTAAAGCACTGGGTTTGCTCCCCAGCCCTGCATAGAGAGTCATGGTGTCACCTCGCTGTAGTCACAGCACCTGGGAGGTGGAGGCAGGAGGATCAAAAGTTTAAGGTCATCCTTAGCTACAAAGAAAGATTGAGAGCTGACTGAGCTACAGGAGACCCTGTCTCAAAAAGAAAAGGAAGGAAGGAAAAAGAGAAGAAATCTAGAGAATGGTCTTTAAATCTCTGATCTATGTTGATGGAACTGACATCAGAAATTAGCAACTAGAAAAGATTTGAGAATGTAGGGAATTCTTTGGGTACTATGGTAGAGGAAATGTTTCCCCTTAGAAATCTCATGGAACTACCTGGAGAAATTAATATGTAATCCTTCAACTCAGAAGAATACAAAGGCCAGCAGAATATCTAAGGAGTCAGAGCCAAGATGACCAGCTACTTTGTTGGAAGAAGTTCAGGAGCAGTTGTTCATAGGTTAGAATGGATCAGCATTCCCAGAGTTCTTTGGAGGAAAGTCTATTTGCTAGGTGGTAGATGGGATGAATGAAGAGTTTCACACTTCAGCTGCTGAAAATGCTGTTACAGACCATTCTCAGCCATCAGTCTCCACCAGCTAAAGATTGCAGCTGACTGGCTTAAGTGAAGTATGAAGTCCTAGCGCCCAAACCAACTTAGGACAACTCTACAGGGCCATCCCAGCTTTTCAACTCTGTGCAGGGATCACTGAGGTCCTTGTTAGGAATGCAGCACAATGCAACCTCTCCTCCTGTCCAGTCTCACCGCTTCCCTTTCCTTAACCCAGGTGCCAACCCCAGCACTCCCTTGTAGACATCTTGTATGGTTATCTCAGCTTTCCAAGAAACCCGACAGTGCCTGTGGATCAAATGGGACCCTATGATCAAGCGAGTCACCAAAAACATGCATAGGTCAGCCCAAGGGCTCTGCATGGACAGATGCTTAAAACGCCACTAGATTCCTTGCAGCGTGGGGGGGGGGGTAAGTAAGAGCTGCAATAAAATTGTATCACCCTTGGGCAAGGGGACTTCCAGTAAGGAGAAAATGACGACAGATCGGAGAGCGTGGCTGTCATTTAGAAGATTTTCAATACTCCCTAGGAAGGAAAGGGCATGTATAAAGAGCACCAGCGCCCAGCTCACAGTGTCTGTCAAAGCCATTTCTGCCCGTTTTGTCCCGTCTAACCTTGGGCACTAGTCTAGGGTGGGTAGGAAAACAAGTTAGCAGACCAAGGGCAACCTGGAACAGAATCTAAAAAGATAGCAAGTGTTCCCTTCCTGCAGACGCTATAATTATAATTTCCTTTCGTCTGGCATACGGTCCCCAGCGTTTCAGTTGCCAGGCGTTATAAAACCTGAGTTTATCAAAGGATGGTGGTCTCAGGTGGTGACACTTTGTAGTTCTTTCCTGGCTGGCATTATTTATTACATGCATACTGAGAGACACACTAGGCACTGAACTGCCTCTAGAGAGGAGCCCGCTAGCCAGGCACAGCAGAGACAGCAGCGGTGGAGCAGGGCCAGGTGCGTTGAGCGATCTAGTTCTCACAGAGGAAGCGAAGTAACTCCCTTCTCGCTTTTAGGCTAGGGCCTAGTCTGGAGTCCTCCCTTCTGGATGACCCGGAGTATAGCTCCTCTCCTGGTCCCGCCCCCAGCTCTCAGGCCTGCCAGCTCCGGTCCGTGGTACCCACTCCGCTCTTCCCCATTCTCCTTCCTTGCAACCCTCCCTCGATCCGCCCCTCTCTCCAGGGCCCCATGCTGTCCCGTAGAAGCCCTAGCCTTGCTTGACCAGCCTTGCCCATGAAAACTGGCTCCGCCCTCTGGGTGCCGCTCTTTTCCCCTGGCCACGCCCCCTCTAGCTGTCACGCCAGGACCCTCTCTCCGACTCTGACTCTGCATCCCTGCCACATTACTCCCCACTTGCCCGGTCATGCCCCCAAAACCTGCTCCCACCCCTTCTCTGAGCCCCGTTCTTCTCACCGGACCACGCCTCCTCTCACTGCCACGTCCCACCCCTCTCTCCAGACTAGGTCTCCTCCTGTAGCCGCATCACCTCCTACTTGTTTGTTCCCACCCCTAAGATCTGGCTCCGCCCCTTCCTGGACGCCCGCTCTTCGACACCACGCCCCCTCTCCTTGCCACGCTCCGCCCCTCTCCTCTTCTCGCCAGGCCCCACTCACAAATGCTCGGCTCCCCTCCCTCCTCAATGCTCGCCTCCCCTCCCCAGCCCCCCGCCCTCCCCACCCCACCAGCTCGGCCACGCCCCAAAAGCTAGACCCCGCCCCCTCCTGGCCCCGCCCTTGCTTCCTGGTCACACCCCTCTCGCCGCGCTCCGCCCTGCTGGCCAGGCCCCGCCCTCCTGGCTCCACCTCCTCCCGGGACCCAGCAAGCCAGCCGCCGCGGCGGGCCGTGGGCATCATGGGGACAGCCTCGTCGCTGGTGAGTCCCGCTGGCGGGGAGGTGATCGAGGACACGTACGGGGCAGGCGGCGGCGAGGCCTGCGAGATCCCTGTGGAGGTGAAGCCCAAGGCCCGCCTGCTGCGCAGCTCGTTCCGCAAGGGAGTGGGAGCCGGGCCCGGGTCGCTGCCTCGCGCAGCGGGCGGCGGCGGGCTGCTGGGAGCCAGCTTCAAGTCCACCGGCTCGTCCGTGCCAGAGCTGGAGTACGCGGCAGCCGAGTTCGAGCGGCTCAAAAAGGAGTATGAGATCTTCCGGGTCAGCAAGAACCAGGAGTTGCTGTCCATGGGTCGCCGAGAGGCCAAGCTGGACACCGAGAACAAGCGGCTGCGGGCGGAGCTGCAGGTAATGCGGGACAGCGCATCCGCAGCGGGAAGCGCTGGGGAAACTGAGACCCGGGTGTGCTGCTCAGCCGCTTGGTGGCACCACCATCCTGCACCAGCTACAAACCAAGTTGTTTTCCAAGTTGGACAGAAGCTGCTCCTCGTTTATGAGGAATCATTATTTGAGTCCAAACTAATTTCTTATCAGCATATCCCCCCTTTCAATTTCCGGTTCATTCATTTAGATACCTTGAATCAATCAACCCACCTCCTGAAGCCGCAAATGCCACACTGTGGTGAAACTTCACACAACTCCTCCCAGTTTAACATATCTCCAAGATGGAACTCTTGGCTCAGTTTTTTTGTGACGTCCTGCAGATCTGGGTTTTAATGATATGATAGGAATTCTTCTGGAAACCTCCTGATTTCACCGTTTTTTAACTGCTGTGGTTGAAAACCGTCCTTGAGGTTACTCAAGTTCCCTTAGTCCCTTTGGTGAATCGACTCAACATTATTGTAGTGCTTTTCTAGGCCTTCTAACATATCGGCTCTAATTCCTTCAGAAATTTCGGATTCAAAATTTCTCAGAGCCAAAAGTCTGGAACTTTATGCCAGGGGCTGGGAGCGTCTCTGATGGTCATTTGTTTATTCCTTTCTTTTCCGTGGGAGAAGTCTCTGACAGCCCAAGAGCTCCAGGGCCCATCGAAGTAGGAATTAGATAAACAGCACAGACTTATTTATGTAAAAGAAGGCTCCTACCTTCTAGTCGGGCATCACTTTTTATGGAGTCCTTCATTATCTGGTGTGCTATCAGCATATTATCTGGGAAGATGTTCCTACCAGCCCCTGCTACCCTCACTTTCTACTGGTTGTCCAATGCCCTTGCCCGGGTAGAGTGGACCCGTGCATTTCCCACGTCTGACTGATTTCATGTGTGCACCACTGCCCACTGAGAGCCGTGTGAGACAGCAGGTAGAAAGGGACAAGATGAAGAAGCCAGTGCACAGAGGGCTGACAGACACGCAGTCACAGATTACTGGTCAGCAGTCCCAATTCCTTGCATAACCTGTTGTTCCTTTCTTACCTGCATAGTCTTGAGAACACCTTTCCACATTTATTTCACTCAGCCATGTTGACATTTACTGGAGGCCAGCCATGAATCCAGACTGAATGGCTCAGGGGACAGTACAATGATTAATATATCATGCCAAGGAGCACAGAAACTTTCTTAGTTAATTATTCTTCAAGCTAAGCCTTACAAATTGCATTTCTTATTCTCTTAGAAAGTCTGAGGCATAGAAAAATTTGGGAACTGGTGCAGTATTTCAAAGAAAAAGTGTTAATTTCCATTAAAAGCTCATTGCTGAAGAACCTATTTGGTCAGATTCAAACATGTTTGCATTTTTTCTATTTTATGTGAATAAAATGACAACATAGACCTGATTGATAATTGATAAAATAGTGAGTAGAATATTAAAAACCCTAACATGTGTAACATATATATCAGAATTTAAAATGTGGATGAAAGTCTGTTTTCATTAAGAGATAACTGGTGAATTATTCCAGGCACTTCAGAAAACTTATCAGAAGATACTTCGGGAAAAAGAGGGTGCATTGGAAGCAAAATACCAAGCCATGGAGAGAGCAGTTACATTTGAACATGACAGAGACAGAGTTAAAAGGCAATTCAAGGTAAGTTCCTTATATTTATATCCCTACCCCCTCACCCCCCACACCCGCAAAGTGTCACAGATTAAAAACTATTTTTAAAAAAGTTCATTTGAGCCAGGTGTGGTGGCCCAAGCCTTTAATCCCAGAACTCAGGAGGCAGAGACAGACAGATCTCTATGAGTTCAAGGCCAGCCTGCTCTACATAATGAGAGCTTGTCTTGAAAAACACAACAGAAAAAAAGTTAATCTGATATCATGATAAACAGAGATCAATTAAGTAACACACCTGAAGGTCCTGAGAGCTAGAGAAGAAAGCAGCATTTCGTGTTTTCAGTTAAATGCTGTTTATTTGATAAAGAGATGTGAAAGTGAACGTTTTCGGTGAGATATTGAAAGATGAAAGGATGGATCTTTTTCATTTTTATTTTTAAGTGTGTGTGTGTGTGTGTGTGTGTGTGTGTGTGTGTGTGTGTGTGTGTGTGTGTAGGCACACATGAATGCGGTGCCTGTGGAGGCTAGAATTGTAGGATCCCTTGGAGCTGGAGTCACAGATCATTGTGAGCCACTTAACATGAATGCTAGGAATCAAAACACAGATTTGATTTCTGCAAAAACAGTATGTACTTTTAACCTCGGTACCCTCTTTCCTGCCTCTAAGATGTGTTTCTTCAAGAGATGATACATTTGGAAATATTTGGGGATATTCTGTTCTGCATTTGGTATGAGGGAAACAAGTTTGTTAGATGTCACACAAAACACACGTCCGCGCTGCTAGACTTCCAGTGGGTTCAACTGTGAAATAATAAGAGAAAGGTCTGGAGACATCATCTCAGAGGAGACTGAGAACCAGATGAACATTGACTTTATGAATCAATGGATTTTGTCACCTCGGGAAAGTTGGTGACACAACTTTGTGATTATGAAAAAAGTCTCAAAACTAAATTCTACGTTTTAAAAGATTTTTAGGGAGACCAAAGAAAATGAGATACAGGACTTACTGAGGGCCAAGCGAGAGCTGGAAAGCAAACTCCAGAGGCTGCAGGCTCAGGGCATCCAAGTTTTTGACCCTGGGGAGTCTGATTCGGATGACAACTGTACAGATGTCACAGGTAAACACACTTCATGTCACCTTACCCTGTCTGCAGAGCCGTAGTGATGCTCAGAATCTTTCATTCTCTGTGAGAAGGATTAGTACCTGCACTGCTCTTACAAATAGAAGAGACCTTCCAGTGTCTCTCTTGGCTGTTAGGATCTCCTGTCCTTGAAGTGTATGATGTTGCAGGCTAGGCTTCCTCTGGTCATCATTCTCTGCCCATGGTGTGCATGTGCACACTCTCTCTCCACACTCCTACCCCCACCCAAAGTACCCACTGCAGGTCACATCTACATTTTCCCCAAAGGAAAGAAGAAAGGAGAGCATGTGAGTTTTTTTCTTGTTGCTATGACAAAATGCCTGGCAACAGACTACTTAAAGAGGAAGGTCTTGTTCCCACTCACAGTTCCAGGGCCACAGTCCATCGCTGCAAGAATGTCCCAGCACCAAGAGCATGAGGCAGCTGATCCCGTTGCATTCACAGTTAGGGAACCCAGAGTGATGAATCCTGCACTCAGCTTGCTTTCTCCTTTCTACGAGGTTTGGCACCCCCAGCCAGTAGGCATGGTACAGCTCACATTTAGGGTAGGTCTTGCCACCTCATTTAACCCCCAGTCTAGATGACCCTCTCAGATATGCCCAGAGGTTTGTCTCTTTAGTGATTCTAACTCCTGTCAATTAAGCAATCAAGATTAACCATGCAGGCCTGTAAAGTGTCTCCAGGGTGTAGAGGCACTATCACCGGGGCCTGATGACCTGAGTTCTATGCTGGGATCCCACAAGGTTGCAGGAGAGAACTGACTCCTGAAGCTGTCCTCTGACCTCCACACATGTGCCATGGCATGTGCATTCCTGTACACACACACACACACACACACACACACACACACACACACACACAGAGAGAGAGAGAGAGAGAGAGAGAGAGAGAGAGAGAGAGAGAGAGAGAGAAATTTGAAAAACTATTTTTAAAAAATAGCATCAAGGGTAGACACCTTGCTTTTCCTGAAGGCACAACCTGAGATAGATCTCCTCTGCTCCAATGTCCCTGGCCAAAGCCAGCCCTAGGAAGATTGGAAAGTATAATTAATAGCCAGGCAGACATGTGTCCAACTTTAATGTGAAGGGGGATATGCATACTGGAATTATTTTCCATACAGTGATGGATTCTTTGCAACTTTGTGCAATGTGTATTTCACTGTTTCCAATGTAGTTTTGTGAGTCACTCAAAAAGTTTCAGTTTTATATAGGCATATAAAACATTTTTCTAGCAAGAAAGAAAAGCCTGAAATCACAGAATTGAAGGCATTTTCCGTGTTTCAAGAAAGTATTAATCAACTGTGATTAGTATGAGGTTAAAAAAAAGCTTTCTGTAGGTGTAAGGAGAAAATGTTGTGGTCCTCTTGTTTATAAGGGTGGTGTTAGAGTCTTACAAAGGGATGTATTTGGGAGTAAGATACAGCAACTGGCAGTTCCTGCCTGATTTTCATTTTATTCCCATTGGTTGTGATGAGCATTTTGTGAAA